GCTCCACATTCCCACACAGGAGCAAGTATATAGCTTAGGTTTGCCAACCATTCATTCATTCAGCAAACAGGTACTGGCTGATCATATGCCAGGCAGTTTAACAGACTGAAGATACAATATTGAACAGAACAGATAAAACTTCCTGCCCTCATGGGATCTACAAACATGGGAGTAGACAAACAACAAGGTAAGTAAGTAAAACAAATGGTATATTAGGTGGAGATAAATGGGGAAAAATAAAATAGTAGAGAGTATTATAGAGGGCTGTGATTTTTAAATAGATGGATAGAAATGGACTCACTAAATAGCTGACATTTGGGTAAAGACCTGAAAGACGTCAAGAAACAGCCAATGGATACTCTAGGGTGAAGCAGCCCAGGTTTGGGAACGGTCAATGCAGCGGCCCCAGGTTGGGATTGGGTGTGTGTCTGGCATGTCGAGGCATAACAAGCGGCCCAGCAGGGTAGGCTGAGTAAGCCATGGAGGGAGAGTGCAGCAGATGAGGTCAGAGGGGTCATGGGAAGTCAGAGCATGCGGGTCTTGGTGGTCTTTTTTTTCTTCTTTTTGCATTGGGAATTATCATTTTTATTTTAAAGTCAAAGAGAAATTTGAATTGAGGATTATATAAATTATGTAAGTTACATAAATCTAGTAGGTGTGAGAACTGGGTCTGAACTAAGGTCATATAGAGTGACAAAGACAAACTGATTCTCCTTTGTTAGCATCACGGATAGAAATTGATCTCTTTTCCATTCTCACTGCTTCAAAGGGTAGTTCAGCCCATCATCACCTGGCCTGGGCCACTTTAGTTGATTCCCCCCTATCTTGGTTCCTATGTTTCCATTTCATCTTCAATCCTGCTACCAGATAAACCTTTCTAAGATCTGCTCATGTTACTTGTCAATTAAAAACCCTTCAAAGGCTTCTCATCAACTCTATGACATGGTACAAATCTGTCAACGTGGCCTTCCATGAGCTATATCCTGCATCTCTCTTGTATCATCTTTTAGATCTTGGTGGTCTTTTAAGTGATGGGGGTTAAAGACTCCAGCTTTCCTTGAAGTAAAACAGGCAAGTTTTGCAGGGTTTTGATCTGACAAACACATTAGCAACTCTGGCTCTAACACTGAAGGAGACTGAAGGGAGCCAGAATATAAACTGAGAAACTAGTTAAGAGTTCCCTGAGATCATCCCAAGAAGATGTGAGAATGTCTTGAGCCCAAGCAGAAGCAGTAGAGATGGTAAGAAGTAGATGGACTCAAATACTTAACTTCTTTGACAAAATGACCAATTCAGAAAGGAGTTCATGAACCAACTCAGGCTAATCAGGAAATTCTTCTGGGAGTATTAGGATAAGATTTGTCCTTTTTTTCCTGGGAGTTTAGTCATAATACAACACAAACCTGAAGTTAACAGTGGCCATCTCGGTAACCTGGCAGAGAGACTAGAGAATGAAACCAAAATAGTGGGAAGCGGAGCACAAAAGGGGGAAAAAAGGCTTCCTCTGCCACAAAACGCTGAATCACATATACTTCCAAAGATGTACACTTGAATCTTGTAGTTTAGTTGCTAAGTTGAGTCTGACTCTTTGAGACCCTATGGACTGTAGACTTCAGGCTCCTCTGTCCAAGGGCTTTCCCAGACATGAATTCTGGAGTGGGTTGCATTTCCTCCTCCAGGAGATCATTCCAACCCAGGGATCAAACCTGCATCTCCTGCAGTGGCTGGCAGATTCTTTACCACTGAGCCACCAGGGACATGTCTTAAGAAATTTCAGAATTCCTAAGAGATACAGAAAATTCTTAAAGTTTATAGATAAGATAAAAAGGTATTATCTACACAGAAACAAAATAAGAATGGCATCAGTTTTCTCATATGCAACATGGGATGTCAAAGATATTGGAGCTTTGCCTTGAAAGTTCTAAACAAAAATAAATTTTCTCCATAAAATTCAATACCTAGTCAAACACACAGTCAATCATGAGGTCAAAATACCTTCTCATGTTTATTCCCCATGTACCCTATATAAAAGTATTGCTTGGTAAAATACTCTAATAAAGTGAAAAGGAAAAAACCATGATATTAAGATTTAGGGAAAACTGAATAATGAGAAAAAATTATGAAAGACAATCTATTAAAATTGTTCTTAGTTTCATATTTCTTGCTTGATGTCCCAAGAGTTGATTTTGCAATCAAACTTCTGTGTTTAGAGTTACATTTAATTTCAAGTAATGGTTTTATTTAGAAGAAATAATAGATATATTAATAATATAAATAGAGTCTATAGACATCTAAACATTTGAGGGCCATTTTTTTCCATTGTTGGTTATATCTGTATCATCCCTAATTCCTTGTCAGTAATACTTGCTTTATTTTCCCCAACCTAAAGTCAGCACGTAAAAAAACATGAAATTAATTTTAAAAGATTAAAACTGCTCACCAAAGGAAAGCATATTAAAATATAAAGAATTAGAGAGGTGACAGAGTTAGCAAGTTGTTTCATATATGTGCCGAGTACAAGGATTTCCAACAAAATTCATCAAAGAAGAAATGACTGGTGCTCACTGTAACCGGTTTTCCTCTCCCCTCTGCCCCCCAAGAAGACTTGCAGCGCCATGTGGTGAGGAGTGGCCATAAGCCTAGTTCTGGCCATTAGTGGAGGTGATGTGCAACACCTCCCGTCTGGAGACGAGTGTGAGTCGGCCACGTGCTCTCTTCTGCTGTCACGGCAAACCCTGAAGCCACCTGTTGCCATGGTGATGCCACAGGGGGTGGAGCTTCATCAGCTTGCATCCCCGTGTGACTGTGTGGAGCAGAGGAGCCCTCCCTCCCCTTCTCATGTCAACCAGTATTGAATATATAGTGTAAATAAGAAATTAAAGTTTCTTGTGTAAAGCCACTGAGCCTTCAGAGTTAATCTGCTACCATGGCACAGCCTAGCGCGGCCTGATAAGGGTTATTTTGCCTTTCTAATCATTAACAAAAGACTTCTCTAATTTACTTAAGTTAGGTGTAAATTTTTCTCTTGTAAAGTAAACTGACATATACCCAAGGTAGTTAATCCCTTTTTTGAACACGTTAGTAGAAGGTATTTGATTAGCAAACACACTGACATTTCTACTGAGGACCATAAACTCAGAGGAAAATGTCTGAAATAGGAACTGTTTTGCTTCCTGAGTAAGTTTATTTCTCTCCTCCCCCTTTTCCTCACTCTCTACAAACAATAAATGCAGAACATTTTCTAGGAAAATGCTCCATTAATTTGTGCAAGTAACCTCAAAAGATTTCAAAATATTCAGCTAATACCTATCAGTTTTAGAATCTGATTCTGTCCCTTAGAAAGCTATGTTCATATTTTGAACCAAAATTTAAGAAAGCACAAATATCATTAACCAGTTAAAATAACAGCCCTAATGTTAATCTGCCGTCTCAATAATTTGAAGAGGTTGCAGATTCTGTTTCAAAGAACAACACCTATGTAAGTAATTTCTCAGCTAGCCACTCCTCTCTTTGTGATTTAGTCCCCACCCCTGTTCACACTGGCATGCATGCATGCTACGTTGCTTCAGTTGTGGCCAACTCTTTGTGACCATATGGACTGTAACCCTCCAGGCTCCTCTGTCCACGGGATTCTCCAAGCAAGAATACTGGAGTGGATTGCCATGACCTCTTCCAGGGTCAAAATGGTATACTTCGTGCAAAAGAATTACAAGTCTTCAAGAAGAAACATATGTGGTAACTACTCCTTCACTGCCAGAACAGATTTTAACATAGAGTCTATTTTAAAATAAAAATCTTTGGAGTCTTAAGTTGTTTTTCCATTAGAAGTCTGAGACTTGGCCCTACATATTTCTGTTCTGGAAAAAACTCTATTGACATTCTGAATCACCTGGAAACATAAATTAACATTGAGTAGGTCTTAGAAGATAATATTCATAGGCACAGCAAAAAAAAAAAAAAAAAGAATAGGAAAAAACATATTTGTGTTTAAAATATATTCACACAAAACTTTACAATATTCACTGCCCAGCAAGAATATGTCAAAATAATTAGAAAAGCATTCTGTACTCTGTGAAGACTACTGGCGGGAAGTAAAATGGTACAGTTGCTGTGGAAAACAATACAGTGGTGCCTTAAAAAATTAAATATAGGATTATCATACAATTCATCAATTTGACTTCCGGGGATGTAGTCACAAGAATTGAAAGCAGAATCTCAAAGAAATATTTGTACATCCATGTTTATAATAGCATTATCCACAAAAGCTCAAAACATGGATGCCAGCAAAAAGGAGATGGACAGATAAGCAAAATACACACAATGGAATATTATTCGGTCTTAAAAAGGAAGGAAATTCTGCAAAATGCTATAACATAAATGGACCCTGAGGACGTTATGTTACAAGAAATAAGCCAGTTACAAAAAGACAAACACTGTATGATTCCACTTATATGAAATATTTAGAGTAATCAAAATTATGAGACAGGAAGTGTAACGCTTGTTGCCAGGGGCTGGTGGGAGGGGAAAGGGGAGAGTTATTGTTTAATGGGCATAAAGTTTCAGCTCTACAAGATGAAAAGTGCTATGGGAAATGGTGGTAATTTATATGTGGACATCTAGTTGCTTATAAAATAGATTCTTCACATAATGACAGTTTTACGGTATTTGATAGTTATGGTACGTTCCTGGCCACTAAAGGGATCAAACAAGGTAATTCCATAAATAAACTGCTTTACTAAACAGCTCTCTTACTGAAAAGTAATCACTATCAAGAATTCATTTTTAGGTCCTCAGAAAAATCCAGGGGATCAAATACAACTGGTTGGTTATTTATGAATTCTATTAGCTTCTCTCTGCATTAATCCTACCATAGGGATAAATATACCTAGGCTACTATAATTTGGTTCACAAATTAGAATAACACAGTGGAGTACAGGCTGTTTAAGTCACAAATACCACCAAGAGAAAGAATTAGCTCCGAAGAGTTCTCAATTACATACCCAAAAGTTATGAGGGTCCTTGTTCCAGTTCCGTTGCTTCAGATCTGTACAAGAAAAAGTCAAGAAAGAGGTCATCAGATTTCTGCCAGGACAACTGCATGGGAGGAGGTCAAAGTCCTACCACATCAACCCCCAAGAAAAGGCAACAAAATCGCAACTTTCTAATCATGATGACAACAACCATAACTTTGTTTTCTATGTCTATGAGATTATTTCTGGTTTGTAAGTAAGTTTATTTGTATCATATTTTATATTCCACATATGAGTAATATCATATGATATTTGCCTTTCTCTGACTTCTCTTAATATGACAATATCTAGTCAATCACTACAGTAAAAAATCCTCTATTTTTATATCAAACACAACCAGACATCCTTTTTTCCTCTTCTACAGCCTGCCCTGCACATTTGTGGCTTTAATTTCTAGCTTTGCTATTTTAAACTGCAAGATAATGTGATGTTATGTTTTATCTAAATATTTTCCAAGTACAATGATTTGAAATTATAACAGCTCACCAGAAACAAGGTAGAAGTAAATGAATGTCAGCTGTATTGAATGCCGAGTCACTGGCTTCTGTTCATGTTTGTATTTAGTGTACCTAGCAGTAAACCAGCCATCTTTCTCCCCACAACAAGACTTCATGTCACTTCTTTCTGCTTTTCAAAGCAGTGAAAATGGCACTCCTTCATGCTGTGGTAGTCAGCATTTGTACAAGAACTTCTTAGTATTGATATATTAAATTGGTTGTAAAATTTTTCTTTTTACTCTTGGACCTCACAATCCTGGTATTGTTTGGTTGAAGGGCAACTCAAGAAAAGTTGGGGTATCAGTGCATGTAACTTGCTCAGAGCCAGAAGAATGAATCTCTAAGTAGACATTCCAGCCAGAAAGAGCACAAACAGGTTTTCCCATCAAGAGCACTCATGGGCGTAAAAGCCAGACAAGTTTTATAGTAATACTGAAATTTAAAAAGTAATACCACCCATGTCTAGGTAAATGTGACTGCAGATTCTTATCTGGGTGGTATTTGGACTCAGATGTACTGACTAAATCACTTTGAGTTTAGGAAGATCTTAAAAAAATTAGGTGCTATTTTCCACTGGTTAAAACCACTTCACCACCTCCAGAAAGGCTCACACTGAGAAGACAGATTAAGATCCATTTACTCGTCCACCCAGGCACAATTTCTCTGACACTCAATGCTTTGAATATCTCATTTCAAAAGAAAAGAGTAATTTCAAATGCCTGAATAACGAGTGCGATATTTCACCCTTATCCAGTACTCAGTGTCATAAGGAAGCAGAGGCAGAATCCTGAAAATACCCAAAGAAGGAACAAGATTCTTTCAGCTTCCACAGAATGCTGCGGTTGTAACATCCTTTTCCTTTTGACTTGGCATATCATGCACCCCCTCCAAGAAAAATCTATATCTTAGCCTTAGGCAAGGGCTAAGATATATTATTCTTATCCTTCATTTGAATTCATTATGTAGGTCAAATACAGTAAAGAAAGCTGCTTTTGAAGACCATGGCTTGAATATATAAATTGCAGCCAGACAGAAAGAGTAGATGAAAAATGTTTCAGCAGTGAAGTCTTTAATAAAGCATGTACCATTCATTTTCCCCCCACCAATTCTCAACAGACTCCCATTGTCTTCAAACAACAATAAGAGAGGCTGTCTGCAGTTAATTTAATCATTGTCATTTCCTAAGAAATAAGGACTGATGTCTATTGAAAATTATTCCAATTATGTCTTTGAAAATGAGTTCAAAACTGTTCAAATGACTGCTTTCAATACTATATTAACCTCTACCAAATGTTATTAGTTATTCTCACAATCTTCTTAGAGCAAAAAGAAAATGACATTAGTGCCTAACTTTTTTATTCAGTAAAAATTCAAACTGGAGATGCCACAATCATTTTAAAAATTTTGCTCAAATCTGATCTACTTAAGGATTAATCTAACCCTTTTCTATAACATTCCAAGAAGTAATTTCTCTGATTAAAAACAAAAGCATGGCCAAAATCCATCTTACTGTACCAAATAAAATCAATGCTCTGCAGTCACTTGAAAATAAGTTGAAGATAAGCAGAGAGGAGGCATCTCACAAAAAGAACAATGAAACAACGAGGAAAATCACAATGTTTGTGTGTGCTAAGTCACTTCAGTCGTGTCCAACTCTTCGCAACTGTAGAGGCTGTAGCCAGTCAGGCTCCTCTGTCCATGGATTCTCCAGGTAAGAATACTGGAGTGGGTTGTCATGCCCTCCTCCAGGGGATCTTCCCAACCCAGGGATCAAACTCACATCTCTTATATCTCCTGCATTGGCAGGCAGGTTCTCTACCACTAGCACCACCTGGGAAATCTGAAAATCATATAGCCAACATTTATTAAGCCCTGATTATTATTTCATTTGTGTTTATGCTAGATGCTGTACATGCATTCATCATGTAGTTTTCACAACTCTGTAAAGTTGGTGCTGTCTTTATTCCCATTTTCCAGATGAAGACAAATGTCTTGAAATGTGCAGCTCTGGCTGGGCTGGCATTCACTACTCTGTGAACAACTGTCACCCCAATGCTCATAGGCGGTTCCCTATGCTGCCCCAAGCCCCTAACAAACCTCCACACACATCTTTTTCTAATCAGTACTTTGATGCGGGCTCTCCACATGGACACAACTTTCTGTTGATCATATTTCTCTCTCTCCAGAACCCAGATACCCTGGAAGAGGGATTGTGTGGGGAGGTGTAGAGAACAGGGAGGATCCAGGTCAGTGACCTCTGCATCCCCACCCCCACCTCCTCTCATGAGGCCACACTTCCCTCATCTCAGCTTTATCCAGGTACCCAGGGCTCTCTCTCCCTAAAGCTCCATTACACTCCTTAGAAATGCCCATGAGTACAGATTTATTTGTGTCCACTTTCTGTGCCTAGAAAAACTTGCCTTCTGTACCTCTCCCTGCCCAAAATATGTATTCCATATAAAATGCTGGCTCATGAATATCAGCATCAGTGATTTAGAGTGAAGACAAAGGAACATTAAAGTAGGAGAGGCTGTGGGTTCCCTCTAGTCCAGCTGCTTTTCGAAGCTTTCTGTTCATCACTTGAGTTTGTCGTGTCTAAACCGAAACTGCAGATAAGTTCAGCCCTTCTTTCCCAGGGTTTTTGGCCCTTGGGCTTTGCCCTTGGCGTTCCTTTTGGGCCTTTTTTGAGGTTGTTCGGTTTTTTGCCGGCGGTTTTTTGCCGGCGGGGGTTGCCCTTGTTTTGTCTTGCCCCCATACATAGATTGGTTGGCCACAGCCTAACTTTGCCACTTGCGTTGGCCAACTCTCATCCTGACATGGTTCAAGAGCCTGTGTCCCATGAAGGAAGTATAAAGTTCATGACTTTCAGACTTTTCTGGGCTTTGATATGCTGTGTACTCTGGGTACACTTGATGAGAATGAAGGGAAGCACAAGGAGAAAGAAAAGAAAGGGGAAGAGAGAGATTTGGACAGTGAGTTATTGTAGGTCTTGAATCAGCCAGAGGGCAGCAAGGGGCCAGACATGGGAGGTCAGGGAAAGAAGCTGCCACAGAAGAGGATCTAAAGACAGACAAACACGAAACACAAAAGTCACTTCTCAGCTTTGCCATTCCCTATTCTGCTCCTCCCAGAGGCTGAAATCACACCTTTTACCTGTGTCCGCCCTCCCTTAAGTTCCAATATGCATGCAGGCATGCTAAATCGCTTCAGTCATGTCCGACTCTGTACGACCTGATGGACCGTAGCCACCAGGCTCCTCTGTCCATGGGATTCTCCAGGCAAGAATACTAGAGTAGATGGCCATGTCCTTCTCCAGGGGATCTTCCCCACCCAGGGGTTGAACCGCGTCTCTTATGTCTCCTGCATTGACAGGCGGGTTCTTTACCACTAGCGCCAAAGTTCCAACATATACCCTAGAAACTCACATGAGCACAGATTCACTTATGTCAACTTCCTGACCTAGGAAGACTCCCTTTCTGTACCTCCCCTGAACACAGTGGATATTCTGCATAAAAGGCTGGTTCATAAATATCAGCATCAGTGGTTTAAAGATGAAGGAACATTAAAGTAAGAGAGGCTATCGGGACCTTCCCACCTACACCCTCCCCCACTCACCCCCTGATGGTGGGACAGAGGGTGGATGAATGAGATGCAAATGCTAAATGTAGATTATACAAGAAGCTTCCCCCTTCTCTTTCCTGTTGATCTAAAGCCACTACATTTCTAGTTGCTTGGTCCTTCTTGCAAGAGTAGGCTCCTGATTCACCACCCCTACCAAGAGCATGGGCTTCCCCAGTGGCTCAGCTCTAAAGAATCCACCTGCAATGGTGGGTGGGGAAGATCCCCTGGAGGAGGGCATGACAACCCACTCCAGTATTCTTGCCTGGAGAATCCCATGGACAGAGAAAGCTGGTGGGCTACAGTCCATAGGGTCACACAAAGTCAGATGCGACTGAAGTGACTAAGCATGCATGCCCACACCAAGAGCATGGGCTTCCCTGGGGGTTCAGTGGTAAAGAACCCACCTGACAATGCAGTAGATGAGGATTCCATCCCTGGTTGGGAAGATCCCCTAGAGAAAGAAATGGCAACCCACTCCAGTATTTCTGCCTGGGAAATTCCCTGGACAGAGGAGCCTGGTGGGCTACAGTCCATGAGGTCACAAAAGAGTCGGACCACAACTTAGCGACTAAACAACAACCATGAGCATATTTTTAAACCTGAAGTTGACAGGCACGTCTGACATGGTGCCTATTATTGAGTGTTCAAAGGAACAAAGTCTCTTCAGGACCTCTGTCCACTATGTCCTTGTTCCAAGGTGGCTCTGCCAATAACCACAGCATCAATTCCCCTTTTTATGTTTCTGATAGTAAAACATATATATTTGCATTGTTTTAAATTTAAAATGCAAAAGAAAAACATTCACAAAAGAAAACAAAATTCATCCATGAGCCCAACTCCAGAAATACCCCCACTATTAACTTGTTGTGTATTCCTGCTCCATTTTCTTCTATTCA